TTTTTTTTTTTTTTTTTTTTAACTTTGATTTTAAAATTATTTAAATACAATATTCACATGTTGGCATGCTGACAAATTTCTATCCTGCCACTTCTGTGTCAGTATCAACATATTTTCTTATCTTGGCTCATTAAAAAAAACAAACCAAAAAAAAAAAACTATTTCCATGCTCTTGTTGAGATTTTTGTACCTGTTACTAAAATGTTACCAACACATTTCCATGACAGACATTTTTGCCTTCATCAACTACAAACACAAACATCCGACAAGTTTATTCTGGTTTAATAGCTCACAAAAAACATCAGCTAAAATAGTGTGAGGTTGATTATTCACATTCATTTAAAAGCTTCTCTCCTTTTTAAATGACCATTGTTAACATGACATTTTCAGCAGCATGTGCTCTACCTGCCTTCGCTGGACACAAACCATCAAACTAGTTTCTGGGTTGACCTGGTGAAGCGCACTGAGCCAGACTGTGCTTTGACATGACACGAAGAGCCAGAGAGAGACCTGCGAGAATGCTGAAATAGAAAGTCGCAGCTCTTTAAAAAGCCCTGCTTTAAACACAACAGTAGTAATGCTTGTAAAAGATAAATGAATAAAAAGGTAAAGGGCTAATAAGGATTCTTCCCTTTTTTCTCCATTCATTTACCGAACTGGAAGAAGGTTAGTGTTATTCAAACTCATTCAAACCTATAATACATGATTATGAAAGCTGATTAATAAAGCTTGCCCTGTACCCCTCACCCCACAAAAAAAGAATTCACTCAAAGTTTGGCAACCTTTTTTTTTGGTTATAGTTAAAACTAAGGATATTGGATCTTATTGTCTATCTTTTCTGGATCTCTGGCTCATCCAAAATCAGTGAGCTTTGACTGCCACCGATGGTAAACAAGATATTTATTGGTTTACAGTCATGTCGCTTCACTCTGGTCAACATGCTCCTGAGTGTGGAGTAACATGTAAACGTAAACCCAGAGAGCAGCTTCTGCTGCTTCTCCTCAGTCTCTTGTCTTTCAAAGTCAAATCTGCTCTGAAAAACTTTACAGTAAACCTCATGTCAAAAATAACATCTGGAAACCAAATGCAAATGTATCTCCTGAAATGCCGGCACGTTCCCAGGTCAGGTTATAAAAATGTAATATTGACCAAAAGAAAAAAAAGTTTTTAAATAAACATATCCTAAAATGTTTCTGCATGGCAGATAGTGTTCAGTCCTAAAAAACACAAGTAAAGTGACCAGAGGTGTGTAGGCCCAGGCGGAACACAAGAAGAACTTCCCTCAGCTTTCTGTCAGATCAGAACACTGGACACCGATACCTGGGTGGAACGGCCGCCTTTCGGTACGACAATTGGCTCGCCATCTGGGAAAACAGAAAGGTGAGAAGAAAGTGAATCCGTTTCCACAGCTGAAGACATGCCAGCGGTTTTATTTTGTAAAATGCTACTCCACTCATATTAAAATTAGCTCACTACAGTTTTTGACAGATCATCTAATAGCAGCTATGTTGATCGCAGAACTGCTCAAACCTCAGACTGGGTAAAATTTCTGCCATACCAGGAAAGCACATGACTGTCAGCTTCATAAGCCAAAACTGCATGACAAACATCAACAGATATGGCAGAAACTCAGCCGATTCTAAAATTAGCCACGTGGTAAAACTGAGCTGAATCCATACACTGGGTACATCCCAAATATTTTATTGCTCGATGTGATAGTTGCTCCGATCCGTCCCAAAGCTCTTACTCAGTCTTGGCAGGTGTGTGTTGCGTTTAATCAAAGTAAAAGCAATGATTGGATGAAACAATCCCACATCTGCAGGGAACTGAACTCGTATGAGCTGCAGTGTACACAAAACAATGTGTCTCACCTGCGGAGACATAGTTCTCAGCCCGATGTCGGTCTCTTTCAATGAAGAGTGCGGTGGCGAGGAAGAAAGCTCCGCCCACCACAGACACGAAGGCGCATAGCAGCAGAGAGAGCTGCAGAGATCGGAACTGCCAGAGAAATGAGTCAGTCTTCTTCAAAGAGTCTGAAACCTGAGACATGCAGAAGGGAGGACAGGCAGCAGAGTTATCTTCATGGAGGAGGACTGAAACATACTGCAGAGGACTGTGACACTGACCTGCCTTCTTTGGCAGAGTCAGGACTAGTTTGTCTGACTTTGATCAACAGCATCACCACACAGAACCTGCTGATTAGCCTAACTTAGCATAAACAGTGGATGCAGGGGGAAACAGGCTGGCTCTTCTTACCTCCTGTAAAATGGCAAGTTGCCATTTTTTACAGTTTGGTTTTTATAGCAATTTTTAAAAATGACATTTTAATTACTGAGTTTTACAAGTGTTAACAGATGGGGTTTTCCCTACCAAAGAAAGGCTTAGGGCGCAGCGCTTATGAGTTTGTAGCTTTGTTGGGGAGCAATTCTTGTGAAGGGTAACTGATTTTACAAGTAAAGAAATTGCTAACGCATGCTGAATTAGTTAAGTTACGTTAGCGAAGGAAGCTTGTTAGTTGAATTTACATAAATGTTATAAGCTAGAATTTCTCTCAAATAAAAAAACCCCACCTAAACCGTATGAAACCCCAAGGAAAACCCTGTATATGGTATATATAATTTATCCATATTAGCAATTACATTATCTACTACAATCATGATTTGTTTAGTCTAACAAATGATACAAATCGTCTTTGTTCCATTCTTCCATTTCCTGTCATCCCTCTGTGGCTGACTAATAAACAGGACAATAAAAAATGCTTTATTTATAAATAATAATTAACATAATGTTATACCGTTCTAAAATGACTATTGTCATGTTTTGTGTGTGTGCATGTACACAATGACATACCACTCCGATCAGGTACGGACTTCCTGCATCTCCCAGCAGATGAGAGACGACGATCTGCACAGCCTCAGCCGTGGAGCGCCGAGTGGGAACAACCACATACTGGGACACAGACAACACGGTCAACAGTGCAATGAAATCGCAACCTTTGACTTTTAATCAGAAGAGTGGAACAGGAACGTTTCCCAGAGCTGCCTTAACTGTAATCACAAACTAAAAACTGGGTGCAAACTGTAATCACAAACAGAGAAAAGGTCAGTGTATGAGAGAGAGAGACTGGTTTCTTACCAGTAGAATATCAGCCACAATGGCCCAGTTCATGCACAGGAACATTTCTCCAAAGAAAATAAAGACCTGAGGGGACAGACAACAAACACATCACATTTGAAGCTCAATGCTGAACAAATGTTTCCCTTGGCAGTTGGTGGAGACCAGATCAGAGCTAAGAGAGATATTCATCGTGTGGACACAAACATGACTACAAATGAAGAACTTTATTAGGTGTTAGTGTGACAAGGCTGTCAGGATCTACATCTGTGAATCCAAGCAACAGCAAGAGTGGATACAGCTGGAAAACACTATTACACTGACAGCAGGTTGTCCCACCCACAGGTGGCTGAGTGCAGCTTCCCAGTGATCTATGTGTTTCTTCCCTTAGGACAACTACAGGAGTTTACAGTCCGACTGCTGGCCTCACACCTTTCTCAGCAGCACTGTGCGGTCAGGAGGTGGAGGAACAGGAAGACATTCATACATTAGACCACGTCCTCTTTCGGAACAAGTGGAGCTGCACATTTGGTACTTTTATACTCTTATGATCTGGCTGATGCTGTTGGAGAAAACAATAACAGTACTCTCGAAACTCAAAAGGATGCAAACTCACATAAGTGGCGATGGTGCTGGCCTCAGCAAAAACGAGGGCCAGGTAGAGGAACGGTGCTGACAGGAGCAGACCAGTAGCACAGACCAGCGGGTCAGCTCTGGGCGTCTTCGTCCTCAGCAGCCGACTAACTTGCACACCACTGGCCACGCCCAGCACACCAGTGATGCAGGTGATGACTCCGAAAATAAGGCTGTCAGAATAGAAATAACCGTAACAATGTGAGGATGCTGCAGTTTCTTTCTAATAACGAAATCAATTTTCAGTGGGCAACTGTTACATAACTGAGGAATAAAACCACAGGTATGTTACCTGTCTGAGGAGGCGCAGTGCCCCTCCACGCAGGGAGCTCTCTCCCCGGCGAAGACTGCTGCTCTGAAGAGGAGAGTTGGCGCCCAAAGAGCCAGAGAGCCTGTGACAAAAGCCACTGCTGTGAAGCCGAAAGTAGACAACACAAAGCTGCAGCTGCAAACAATAGAAAAGAAGACAGTGCAGCAGCTCCTCCACGGGACTCACAGAAAACCATGAAAACTCTGAGAAAAGCCTAAACAAAGCTTCAGCCCTCATCAAGATGAATTCAATTCACAGCAGGTATTCAGTATATGTAAGTGTTAGGAGCTGGAGGTGATCTACAACCCAGAACAACCCTACATATGTGGCCATTTCACAGGAGGTTGATGATACTTTCAACAAATTCAGATGTTTGCTCTTTATCTTCAGCCCTTTTCAGACACTGAATGCAAAACATTGCTGCTTCATTTATCTTTTAAAAGTTACGCCGTTCTGTTATTTCCGTTCCGTAAATGTTCCACAATGACTCAGATGTGACAGGATGGTTACAGGAAGTGCCACAATGCTCCCACAATATTTAACACCTGGGGTCTGTTTCACATCAGACATCAGCACTGCAAGTTGCAAAAGATGCCAGCATCATGTTTCATAAATACTTCTAAACCGTACACTGCTAAGCCGTGGTGGATGAAGGACCACTGAGACCTACTCCACGTACCTCGCTATCTGGGAGCTGACAGTGTGCTGAAGAGCCATGAACGGGTCAACCAAAAACTTCAGCCTCGAAAATGAATCAACTCTCTAAAAAGGCTTTAACAAAAGATGAACATGATCACTTTCATGAAGGAGGATTTATTGCAGGACAGCTGGATTAGACTGCAGTAGTTTTAGATGGGTGTACCTAATAAACTGGTAACTGAGTATATTTAGACAAATCTGCTTGTTTTGAGCTAAATTTGGTTTTGGTACAAAAGCCCTGCATATATCCAACAATCATACTGACCTGTAAGCTGTGAATGCTAAAAACTATATGATGTTATCATGGCTGGATTAATGTTTTCAGGGTCTCTCCTGGCTGGCCACCCACCCCAACACCCCAACACCCCATGCACTGCTGCCTAATTCTCACCGAATACCGAACAGACTTCAGTCTAGGGCTGCATGATTATGACAAAAATCATAATCATGATATTTTTATCAATATCGAGATCATGATTATTTAATACGATTACCTAGTGATTTGGAAACATCATGCGTTTATTGAACTTTAAAAAAAAAAAATCTTTAAACGCTGGGGTTTCTGTAACTTTAAATGATTCAAACTGAAAAAAAAAAAAAAAATCAACCTAATTGTAACTGACAGTTCAGAGGAAATCTTAGCCTAAATACTTAGGCTATTACTCTGCATTTATTTTACAAATAAAGCTTCAGGCCACTTCAGGTAAACAATAGCCTGTTGGCTGTCATAACCCAAAGAATGCTGCTGGGCTCAACCACAACGCAGCCACACATCCCTCTTGTTTAACAGTTCTTGCTTGTTCATAACAAGCTTAAAAAGCTTGCTACGGTAACACAAACTGGCGGTGCATGACAGACCGCGTGCAAAGCCTAAATAATCCTTTCTCTGCAAGTTTATATTCATTTAGCAAGGTTCTGACACATTACTCAATGACTTTTTACTCACGGGGGTTTTATCGCGTGTACAGTACAAACATGCTCTCCCCGTAGAGCTCTGACAGGGTGCGCACTGGATTGGACTGAACACAGGGCAAAACGAGAGCATCATTGCAAGATGGAATGGGGCACGATATTCATCTTAGTGCAATTATTTTGTTTTCTTAATCACTAGAAGCCAAAACCGTAACTGAAGTTAAAATTCGTTTAGCTGCCCAGCCCTCCTTTAGCCTATGAAAGCTTCTGTTTCAGCCAGAGACTCAGAAACAAACAAATACCCATGTGCTACGTTAATACTGTCATTTGTTTTAAACAAAGTTGTAGGAAATAAAAAGAGGAGAACAGTTTTGGGACTTTTATACTTTGTGTCTGGAGCCTAGCTCAACCTGCCAGTAATCCAGCACTGAATGTTTCTAGATATGAGTGAAGTTGAACTTACTTCCTGCTCAGGGCCCTCAGATCTGTTAGCCAGCTGGTCTGGTGCAGGTCCTGTCGAGCTTCAATGGCTCCTCTTTTCGGCTCCTTGACCACGGACAGCAGCAGCAGCACTGCGATCAGCCCCAACGCCGGAGTCACCTGCAGGAGAAGAAATGGTGTCGGAGGACTGAACAGGCAGAACAGAGCCTGGTAACCCTCGCGGTCTGATCCATGTACAGGACTATACGTTCTATTATGAAAAATATCTGCACGCTAAAATTCATTCAACAAAAAAAGAGCCCATGTGTTTCCAGCAGATGAAACCAGCTTACCCGCAGAGCCCAGTGCCAGTCCTTTGCTACGGCAGTGACTTGTGACCCTACGATGTATCCAAGACCACTAACAGTTACAAAAGATAAAGACAAGGTTTGATGGAGAAATCATGGGAAAAACATCAGATTTAACATTTATGAATGAAGATAAGCTGTGCTCATATGAACATTCGCACTCAAAATATTATTTTACGCAATTGCTGAATAATAATGCCATGTATGTATTAATGTAGAATTTATTTATGGTGATGAGCATTGTTAAAAGAAAACTTCCTCCTCTACCTGCCCACAGG